CCCCCCCCCCCCCCCCCCCCCCCCCCCAGGCTACGGGCCTGATGTTTTTTGGAAGGGCAAGTTATTTCCCAAGTATCAATATAACCACGCACCTGTGGGGATAAGTTCGGCGTCCACTGGCAAATAACTGTCTGCGTAGATCGCTATCTTATGGTCCGTCATTGTTCTGTTTCCCTAAATAGAACGCGTTTAAATTATTCTTTAAAACCATATCTTCATATCGAATAACCACGACTAGTGGCAGCTTTCATTAACGTATTAAAAGACATTCGGCGATAAGAAATCATTAAAAATTTATTTACAACTTGATTCATCTAGTGGAATAAAATGTATATTTGCAAATCAGATAAGGCTATTCAAAATAAATAAAAAAATAAACAAAGAATAACAAAAGCTTGCAACATATTAAAGACAAGACAAATAACCATTAAGGAAAAAAACAGTTTGGCTTCTCAGGCGGAGCAAATTTCTGAAAATCAGTCAATCCTCGATAGTATAGTGGTGAGTATCCCCGCCTGTCACGCGGGAGACCGGGGTTCAATTCCCCGTCGGGGAGGCTTGATATATTTTCAAAAATCTTTTCAGCATTGAAGAGAATAAAAAAACCGTTACCTAAAGTAAAAAAGTAACTCGCAATTCATTGGTGCAACTAAATGAACTATATCGCTCTGATATCGCAAAGTTGTGTATAATGGCCTGTTTTCATTTTACGCTATCCGAAAAGGCCAAACAAACAGGAATTACCTGTCCGGCTAAGTTGAAGTAGGCGTGGTTACACATATTGATGGGCGTGGCCTTGTCTGTGGTTGCCTCGAAGTCGATTATGATTTCATTCTTATTTGTCAATGTGTACCTGAAAAATCATTTAGGCTTATCAACATGTGTAATACTACGTAATACATTCAATATCTGGTGTGTGTGTGTGTGTGTGTGTGTGAGAGAGAGAGAGAGAGAGAGAGAGAGAGAGAGAGAGAGAGAGCAAACCTTGTTGTTATGTCCATCGTTCCAGGAAAACCATTTTCACCATCAGGACTGCGGTATGCAAATTCCACAAAGCCCGGACCGACTTTTGGTGTCCAAATAAACTGGAAAAGGATGCAAAAACACATAAATCAATATCATCAATAGCTAAATTGTCGTTGTTATGTTTTTGCGAGAAGAAGAATGGAAACTTCCTGACATTATCGACAATTTTTCAAGGACATACCGACCGCAATAAAGTTAATCTCAAACTTAACAGTATCAATACATCTTTTCTGATTATTTTAAAATAATTTGTTTGCATGATTTTAAAATGAACAGTTGCATGCATGTAGTTTAAAAATTGTTCGAAAGAAGGTCATGATCCCTAAAAATACAGGTAAAAAAAGTCATGAAATTGTAAGACTACATCTATGATGCTTTAAAGCACAGAATATTACCTTACTAAAGGATGGATCACCGCCGTGAAGCGTCTGTTTTCCTCTTTCATTTTTGGGCGTGTTATACGTGGTGCCATCTATAGTAAATCGAGCATTACTAATTCTGTTGGCGACGCGGCCGATTGTAGCTCCAATAGACGACACGCCGTTCACATAACCTATATTTTCGTGAAAAATAGTTTCTATTAAGTAATTTTGATTGGTCTGTCTCATTATTACTTTTTGTAAAATGAAAAAAAATTAAATAAATCTAAAAATGAAATTTAGAAGAAAAGACAAAATGGAAGGAACGGGAATAATCAAGCGAAGAAAGAAGGGGATATAAGTAAATAAAGAACTTGAGCGTGAATCCTGTATGCATATAACCAAGAATTTTAACAAGATGGATTTTGGAGAAGCATTTGTGCTGTAAATGTTACAAATGTCAGAACATAATTAAAGCAATTCAAATATAGGACCTTTGAATACGAACAGCCACAATATTCATTTGT